CCCCAAAACCCCAAAACCCCAAAACCCCAAAACCCCATGATAACCGGCTCTGATTGAATAAGTTCTTCTTAATTCCCATTGGTAGATCTAAATCATTATTTGGTTAGTTTTACCACCAAATCTACTGAGCCTTTCTCATGACCTTGATTTGAGACTATTAGTAGGTTCCAACAATATCTTACCTTGTATTTGATCTAAACGTTAGAAACAATAAAAATACCTGGCTGATGAACTTGTAGATGTCATCGTCTAAGCAAGAAAGGATGGCAGCAAGTTTGACATAAAACTTGTCTACTACGAGACGACTATAGTCAACAAAAAGAAACTTGAAAAGACTAGGCTTCCCCTTGTTCTGCTCTTCATTCTTCCTGCTGTAGTGCAAGATTCTTCTTGAAAGTTCCTCTACCTTCATTCCTTTGCTGATATTATCATCAATCTTTCCGAAAGCACTTCCATCTCCAACCAGAGCATTTGCTGATATGTTAGTTTGAACCTAAATGATTAATAGCTTGGCTTACATATCCTGGGAAAACATCTGTAACTACAATCCCTGAATCTCTCAGCTCAGCTCTTGCGCTGTTACTGAACAACTTCACAGCATATTTTGAAGCAGAGTAGATAGTTCTCAGTGGAACTGGGAACAATCCAGCCATTGATACATTGTTGATAATGTGGCCGGATTTTCTTGCCACCATTCCTTCTCCTAAATTGATCAAATTTAAAAGGTACCAATATATCTGGAGAGAGCGCAGACTGAGAGATAATTGACATTCATCATCTGTTTTGCCATTTTGAGGCTCAGATTCTTGAACTCATCTCTCATACTAATTCCTCCATTGTTGATAAGCATATCAATTTTGAATTTATTGTTAAGATCCTTAGCAATTTGTGTAAGTTCTTCAATATTGGCAAGATCCATCTGAACAACATGAATCTTTTCAGGAAACTGACACTCCTTTTTCACTATAAATCAGACTGTATCCCTTACCTTCCTCAAGTTGTTCAACTCTTCTAGCAGTTATAATGACCTAAAATTATTGGTTTATTTCTATAAGCAAAGCTCACCTCTGCTCCATTCTTGTTAAGATCCTTTGCAAGTTGCTTGCCAATGCCGCTACTTGCACCAGTGACCAATACAACTCTTCCCTTAAAATCAGGGATTTCTCCGCTTTTCTGCCTACAAGAATCACTAAAGCTCGCTTACTTATAGCCTGCATAAGCCAACATAATTAAATACCCAACAAACAAAATGGTTGCCCACTCAAATATCATAACCAATCAATATTAATAATATTAAATGGGGTTTTGGGGTTTTGGGGTTTTGGGGTTTTGGGGTTTTGGGGTTTTGGGG